CAAAATATTTCCAGGTTATATCTTGACGTACCACATCTAAAGGCGTATACTGGGCATGATGATGAACGTACACCGGGTTGTTTTCCTTGGTGTTGTACGAAACGAGGAACGACCACCGCCGCTTGTTACTGTTGTTGGCGTCGCTCTTATGGATCAAGTTGGCGTTGAAGATCAAAGCATCTCCTATATAAGTAAGGGAAATAACTATGGTTCCTCATNAAAAAAAAAAAAAAAAAAAAAAAAAAACTAGATCTAATGGTCATGTTGCACTTTTTATTATTTGAAATTTAGGCCTACATAATGTCATTATTTCCCGCAAAAATAAACTTTCCTTGTACCACTCTGGGCCGTATTCTCGGCGCTTTCTGATATCCATTTTCTTTTTCAATACACACAACATAATTAATTTCATATCTTGCTAATCTATAGCCTACTGACTTTTAAGTCAAACGTGTTTATATTTAGCCTAACCCCTTTCATTTAGGCCTATTAAAAAAAAAAAAAGATAAGCCTACCAAAGCACCGCTAAACAGCTCAGCGAAACCCCATCTTTTTTTCTTTTAAAACAAAGAATTTCAACGTTTCTTCAAATCGAAGGCGTAAGCAAGTTACAAATCGATATAGAGTATTGCGTTTATCATTTGTTGCTTTGGGCAGTAACAATATAGGCCTACTTTCAACCTTAGATCTATAACTGTTAGCATGAAAAAACGCCCATTTCGCCCATTATTGTGACGTCAATGGCCCGTGCTGACGTTACCAGGCAGCACAAAAGCTATTGGAGATATGCTGCGCGCAAGCGAAGTGAATACAGCGATTTTCTTTTGAGTAAAATTGACGATATACGCGATGATAGTTGCGTCGCATTTGGCCTTTTTAGGCATGAAATACAGTTACATGTACATTTTTCACAGAGAAATATTCAGACTCGAGAACGAGGTAAGATATTTCTTTTTAGCAGCAGAACAAAAATGAAAAACTCAACTGTTGGTATCAATATATCTGTAGTCATACTTCACCCCCACAAAGATATTTATAACTTTGTTTCTTATTAATCAAAATGAGCGTCTTTAAAGCTTAGTTTTCAAAGTAATCGTGCCGTTTTATTTAAGTATCTATTTCAATTACACTTTTTATCAATTTTCCTTTCTTCAATGTGAATTTAAGGTTCGGGCCCTTTTCTGGAAGAAAGACACGATGCTTCCGATTTTGGGAGGTGGAGGGTTCGGTTCAGTGTACAAGGTATTGAACTTATCATGACAAACAAAATAAAGGGATACTGGGATAGCGGGAGTAACAATAGTAGTTAGTAGCATAAGTACACACAGTTATGGCAGTAATTACAGTATTAGATTTGAAAGTAGTAGCAGCAGAACAAAATATATTTATGTTATATTAAGTTATGTAGTCATGTTACCAGTTTATCTTTGCTATTATTGTTTACGGATGTGACATCCCTGTAACCGTTCGAAATATTTTATATTTAGTTTAAAAACAACCTAGCATTGAAGGTGCCTACCTCTGAGGCCTATGCAAGGTCCATTTACAGAGAAGTTTCTTTTATGAAGAGGATAGACAGCAAATTTATCTTAAGGTATTTTATCAGATGCATACAAACAATTTAATATGTTGGTTAATTTGTAAGCTTGGATACCTATGAAACACGCATGTCCTTTATGCATCACCAAGTAATAATCTCTTTACCTCGTTAGATGTTTGACACATACAATAATCAACATCTTGCACAACATCATTATGTTAAATTTAATGAGTACTAGTACATACTGGATGGATATAAACGTCATAAACTGTGACTGTAAAATTTCAATTTTTATGATTATAATGAAAAATTACGCTGTAGGCCTACAGATTGAATTTATTTCTTTCATCCGATTTAGTTTAACTCATTCTGATATGAGAAATTTCCGTTCCAGACTCGTTCACTCATTTGATGTTAGGCCTGGGTTTCCCGTTCTACTATCGGAATTGTGTCCGATGGACCTTGAAATTCTCCAAGAGTATTGGGAAACTTTCTTGTAAGTAATTACTTTCTTTTCTTTAAATAATACTTTCATTTTTTCCAGATTTTATCTTGTTCGATCATAAAAATATCTATTTCATAGGAAATTCGTTATTCAACAAAATATTATTTCCTTTAATATTGACCTGAATATCATACTGACAGTTGCTTTTATTTATTTCTTAGGGACGAAGTTCCTCTTCAGATGGTGAAATATATTGCCACGTGCGTTTGTATGGCTATTGGGCACTTGCACCAACGGAATGTAGCCCATTTTGATTTAAAAACGAACAACGTGTTGGTTAGTCTACACGGGGTCCCTAAACTGGTAAGATGTTCGATTTTTTGTGGCTCAGATTGTCTATCTGAGTAAATAAATTCAGGTTATTTTTCTCTTCTCGCTATGACGTTCCTGGGTCGGGCCTGATCTTGAATACCGTCTCGCTCTTCGCTAAGACTCGCTTCTTTACGTACATAAAATGACTATTCATGTGTCACCGACGTGTCATAATTTGAATTAATACATTTTATGACTGATAAAAATATGGTTTTGTTTTGAAAAAAAAAAAGATTTTGGATGTAATCAACACTTTCATTTTGGCAATCAGAACATTACCCTTTTTATTCCAATTTCAAATGCGGATTAATTTCTTTCAGTGTGATCTAGGATCTGTTCACCCTCTAAATGATGCCGGAGAGAGTATCGATGCGGTGCAATTTATGAAATTCACATTCTATAAAAACATGACACCAGAGGTGCTGAGGGGTGGCGCCGCCTCGTGGAGAGCCGATTTCTACGCATTGGGTGTCATGTTGTTTGAACTTATGGAGGGAAGGTAATGAAAAGGATACAGCTATGTAAATCATGACAGAACTGTTATTCATGCCAATAGTTCTGATAGAAATATAAGCCAAAATGACACGGCTCCCTTCTTTAGAGTTGCTAGTGGTATGAACTGGAAAATTAGAATGTAGCCAGTAATTTTTTTCTAAAAAATACCTTAGAATTTTAGAACAGTAGGAAGTGTTGGAAGACAGCAATAAATTTTGGTCGATTTATTTAGACACCCACTTTGGACTGAATTGCCGACCAGAGCAGAAGCCAGAATGAAAATCCTCCAAGGCACCATCATCTACACAGATACAGAACATGTCTTCAGGGATCTGATTGATAGATTAGTATGGTAGGCAATACTACTGCATGACATACAACTACATGAATATGTGCAGTGAATAATTAAATGAAATGTCGTGAACAATTCCATCATTAGCTTCGTAAGCATTTGCCTGTCTAAAGACACAAAAGTAAACAATGCACTTTTCAAAATAAGTCATGTTAACTTCGTAGACATCATTTGTCTTCAGTTTCCATTATCCCTGCTTAGTCTCATATTGAACTTTCAGCACAGATCAAACCATCTCTCTCTGTTTTATTTCAGCGAAGTGGACCAAAGAATTGACAGCATGACTGGCCTTTTAAGTCATCGGTACGAATTTCATCAATGTTTTTTTCTTCCTGCAAGACTCCCTATAACTAACAACTTTTTAAGCCAGATCTGACATTTATTTATTTATATTTTTTATTTATTATTATTTTTGTATTTAATCTATTTTCTTCATCCATTCACTATATTTATTTGTCTATATATCTATTATAATTTTATATTCATTTTTTTAAATGCAGATGGCTGTGTGACTACTACGTGAATAATTTTCCAACCGATGTGATCACTTCTCCCATTTTAGACATTGCTCAGGTAACGCCTGGATTTATTACACTGATTGCTTCTAATAGGGTAATTACTCTCTGGCTCCTTATTGTGAACCGTCTCGAACTTCAAGCAATTTGTACATGTATAAGTTAACGACTCTCTAACCTACATGAATCTAATGAAAAAAGATGGAATTTATTTTCTGTAAACATCCAATGCTTGAAATATTGAGATATATGTTTAGTTTACAGACTATTTATATGCAGTGTTTTTCATCATGATAGGAAGTGTTGGAGGAAGAACAGCTCGAGATGGGTCCACTGACAGCAAACAGCAGCGTCCGCAATATTGTTGACAATGGCTAGAGGACTGCTGTAAGCCGCCGGCTGCTTCAATACTTCCTTCAAGTTTCACGATTCATTTAGAAGTAGCCCATTCTACAGCCGACTCCATGAAACAAACTATCCACTTTATTATTATATATAGACGAATTTTTAACTCTAGCCTACAACAGCTCAGAACGATTAATTTAATATCTGCTAGAAACATCAGTTTTAATAAATTTTGAAAAAAAAATCAAGAAGTGAATTATGCTAATTCAAGTTTTCCTTACAGTTTCACCAAGACAAAAAATTGAAGCTTATTTTTTAAACATTTAAATAGAATTTAGTGATAAAAACCACGTTTCTTTTGTATGTGCAGAGAATAAGTGCCAATTTTTATAAATCACATAATCATGTAGGCCTACGTATAATTTGATAATTACTATGTTTTAAATTGTTTTGATAACTTGATAACAGAAAAGATAAATAAATTTTTTGAAATTTTAATTCCTCTCTTTTAAAGACCTATCCTACTCAAGGATGGGTGGGTGGGAGGGTCGGGGAGGGGGGGTGGTGGTTTGGGTGAACTCTCCCGAGAAATTTTTGAAAATTTGGAGCGAAATAGTGGTTTGGTAGCATATCAACCAAGGTTTGGTAGCATAGCAACCAGTATCTGTAAAGTCCAAATAACCTGTTTTAATGATTGAGGAAACACTAGTGAATTGAAAAAGGGACCTACATGATAATTATACACAGGTACATGTACATAGGTCTTTTTCTCCTCCACTCCCACAGCTCGGAGCAGCGGTATGTTTCAAGAAGCGAACGTGTCGTTAAAAAATACGAACTATTTTCCCTAAAAATACCCCGAGACAAATCAAGTCAGCATATTTTTCGGAACTTGAAAAATGAAATTACACGAGATTGGGCGAAAGGTCCTCTCACCTGCATGCAGCCATTCTCGCGGTCATTCTTATCGTAGGCAATATACACAGTGTTAAGATGGTCTGGAAATAGGTTTCCGTTCTGATACCAGTACCTGTTAAATAAATTGCAATAAGATTGAATTGTTGGATTTATTACATTTTTATGATTTTTACTATCCCTGCTCTCTCTCTCTCTCTCTCTCTCTCTCTCTCTCTCTTGAAGATGAAATTAAAATATAAGGATTCTGACTTCCCAGTTTCAAATCTGGAACGTCCGGTACGAATGGTAGAATTTATTTGAGAAATCTAGACGATGAACGATAGGTCATTCAGATTGGGAAATACAGTGTATTGTACATAATCACCCATAATCTTGATGCCATCTGAAACTTCCCCCTGTGTTTGGCTCCTTGATGGGCAGCTTTGTGTGATAATGGTAGATCTCACCATGTCCTATTAGCTGAAAGTGCATAGTATCGCCGACAGTATAACAAACATTTACAGGGGCATGCAATATGTGATTTTTTATTCACAATGCATCTACACAGACTGAAGTCCTCTCTACACTAGACGGCGTCCTTTCTGCGTCCCTTAATACTGTCCCGTTTGAGAGTAAAAAACAAATGAATTCTTTACGTGCCGACAACTGGCCGATTATTGAGCATTCATTCTGCAACCAAACCGATGCTTGTGCCTCCTTTCTACAGCGATGCCAGTTTCATGGTCGCACAAAGAACGTAAAAAGTACGCCGTCCAGGTGGTTTAAGATAACATAAGTCCATAAGGGCGTGATTGAAGTAACTTCCCCATCGCATCAAAAAAGTGATACATTTTTTATACCTTATTTAAGTAAATAAAATAAAACCCAGTAAGATAATATACAGCCACTATGCCAATTTTATCCACTAAGCCATTGGCAAAGCTCTTGTCATTACCTTTTCTGACGTTCTCACCAACTTCTCGGAACGACTAATTATCCCTGTGATGTCGTTCCCTGGGTGGCTCCAAATACACATCCCCACAGACTTGCCCAGGCCATCTGGAATCTGTTTGAAAGAGATATATGAAATCTCAGTGGCAGTCTACTATGGCCCATAGGAGCCTAATTTTAAGCAATCGTTCCGTTAATATTTCGTGTTTCAAGAGATGGTAATTTTGAGCCCCAAATATGACTGCAAAAACAAAGTCGGTCAAAATGACCCATATATTGATTTTGCATTTTACTGGCATGGTTTGATTTGATTTGATATTTCGGAACTAGTATAAGACCAAACTCATATGGTGTATTGTCTTGGGGTCTGGTAAAAAAAAGGCGGATTGCTTTGGGCCATGGTGCACTCTGGCACCTAGAAAGAACATTTGCGTACGATTTCCTTTTCAGTTTAATTGAAGGGACTCGGTTTCAGAGACCAGTTAATAAGCTGTATAAAATGTGCCAAGGTCATTATGCATGTATGAACGACAATCTGGCAGTATACCTGAGTCAAATGTGAACACATGGCCTAGGTAGCTCCAAAGTGAAGGCGAGTGTGTTAGGGGTATATGCGAATACACGTTTCTTTGTTTGGCTAGGAGAGTGTCCTGTCCGCTATGCTTGATATTACCTGATAAGCATGTTTCATGATTGCGTCCGATCCTTCCAACGTCTTTCGCAAAAGAGCCATCTCCTGTGCATCCAGCAACCCCCTGAAAGACAGTCGTGAGCACCTAGACCAGTTGAGACATGTAATATATAACCATTATACTTACATTCAATAAGACACACATGAATTGTCCTACACTATCGGCAAGTAGGTATTTCATTCAATGGAACTGGTAAAGGCCAGTTTCCACGTCTTTTAAAATTCTGGTTAAAGATCTCTCTCTCTCTCTCTCTCTCTCTCTCTCTCTCTCTCTCTCTCTCACTTAATCACTATATTTAGAGCATCGTCTCCAAAACGACGGACTACACCTTTTCTTGAGTTAAACATGTAGTTTTCTCATTTGGGCTTATCCTTGGGAAAGATGAAGACAGGTGAATTTTATTTGCAATGTTAAAAATATAAATTAAGAACTCAAAAACGGGATTAAGGCTCATAATTTTCTCAATTTTTTTAGACAGGGCATACAGCCTGATGTTAAAAGGGATAAAAACTGAGATCTCCAGGAACTTCATTTTTTCTTTTTAAAAATATAAAGGTCATACACACACGTTATGCCTTTGACAGACAATCTTTACCTCACAATAATAAACCCTAGGCGATTGTAATCTTCTATCATTTTCTCAGTAACCTCGAATGAGTTTGGATCGTAAGAGTACTCTGGAAAAAAATATGTGTACAGTAAACAAAATGGATTCGATGAAAGAAGAGATTTAGACATTTTTTCATTCGACTTACATTTTTTGAGTTTAATTCGCTACGTTGACGTCATCAAATTTCCGTCGCCACTTGTTACCAGATTTGGCGCCAAATTCCCGTATAAAATACTTGTGCCTGTTTGATAACAAGAAATGCATTCCAGACCAATACTTTATATCAAAAGGCGTTTCTACAATTTTATCAGTTGATCAAAATTTCGGGCTTAAGTTCCTTGGTAAAATCGGCCCAAAGAATACATTGTACGTTTGTAAAGAAACAGATACAAGTACGGCTAAGTCAAGGTCATTTTAGTCACTGCTGCATCCTGCATTGGCACCCGTTAAAACATGAGTAACTACATGTGACAAGCCTGGCGTTCAAAACTTTCAAAACGCATGGTATCAATTTATATCTAATGTGGACGGATGATTTAGCGACTAATTAATGTTAAATAAATAAAATAGTAATTTTTCCTCACCTCCCTCCATCTTGCACCTTAATATACCTGTTTGTAGATTACGCGACAAGGACACGGCAAAAGCGACAGTAATGACACGTACGCCCAGGTCGACATATGTATGTAAAGTCCTAGTATGTCACAGTAGCCTAGTTTTATAAATAGACCATCTAGAGTATGCTTTAGATTAAACATGTATATCTTTCTGGATGATAAAACGAGTGTGTCCTCTACCAGGGTCACAGAGTAATTTTTTCTTATGATGTCCACTGTGTACACATTTCTGTTCTAGTTTTGCACGTTTAGGATGAAAAGAAGTTACTGCAATTTCTACTGAATCTGGGTTTTTCTAATACATTAGCAGAATTTTAGTTTTTGGCATGCCTTTCAGTAATTGCAAGCCTTTTTGGAGAACTCTCCACATAAAATATAAAGTGATGATACAACGGTATGGCGACTGCTTTACTTCCAAAGAAGTCATTTTAAAAGTTTTGACCATTCAATATCAAACCAAAGTAAAGCCAAAAACAGAAGTCTAAAGAGTATATGTTCGACAGTTTATTATATTACAATGTCGATCAACAAGGCACAAGTGGCAAGACGTAAACAATACAGTATACAACAATTACTAATGTCACTGTATACAATTGAGCACAGCGTCCTGAAATAATTCGTTGTTAATGTAGTTTTTAATACTTATTATTATATCACAATTAAAAAAAATTCATTAATAAAAAAGCCGACTACTTAAATTAGTGTTTGCTTACAGACCTCTGATAAAATGAGATAAATGGAAGTAACAGAAGAAAAAAAGATTGGAGTCAAAAATTTTGATACATTTTTTTTCTTGAATTATTATGCTATTTTTAATTTAATTGGTGGATAAGAAATTGTTCTATCCCCATTTTCACAGATGTTTGGCAGTTGAAGACATAAAACATACTTGATAAGCTAATACAAAATTCTATCAATCATGTTGTCAAAATTTTGGTGCAAATTTTCAGCTTTTGAACAATACCAATGTCTCCAAAAGTGGAAAAATGAAAAGAAACATTACAGTGCTCATCTGACAGAATTTCATTAAAAAAAACTGAGTGCACATTGAAAAGGTTAACTTCCAATATGACTGCTAGTACAAAAAATTCCAAAAAGGACTTCAAGTAACATTAGATCCCATAAACAAGCAAAAATTCTATTTCAAAAATCTCAGTTTGAGCAGTGAACTTCAGCAAACTTCCTCTGTAATAACAATAACTGCAAGATTCATGCTAATTACGGTACATGTCATGTTTTCTGCTCCTATTTACATGTAATTGTACTCTTAATATCAGAGTTGGTTTCAAAGGAAATTGCCAAGTTAGCTTAAATAGGTGTGTGCCTCGATTAAGTAACAGGTTGACTTTAATGAAAATGACATATGCACATTTGTATATATTAAAACTTTTTATCCATCACCAAGACAATCCTATAATCTTAAGTAAAAAAAAAATACATGGGCAAACTCCAGGATTGTTTGAACTGGAAGATTTAGGCAAAGTCATGCAACTCAATAAAAAATATCTTTAGTCGATAAGTGTTTTAACTCCTCATTATGAATAAAAAAAACTTAAAAGGAAAATGCTGAAATAAAGTTAACAATTTTGACATCTTTCCTTTCCTTAAGCCCTTGGACTTTGCATTACTAGTATGTCGCATACAACTTAACTGAAGCAGATCAATAATCTAGTTTGACTATTTATGGTAATGACTCGATCTTTTCAATGAGGGAAACTTGTGATTTTACAGATACTATATTTTTAAGTCATAATTTCTTAAAATAAGAGCATTCCTATTGAGTGGTTGCAACAAAATTGAAAAGCAGGCTACCTTATAGTTCTATTCTATGCATTAAAAGCACCACAAATGCTATACAAAAATATAATTTTTAGGATTTTATAAATGATGTATCTGAAAGTTTGATAATTTTTGTACATTGAAAAGATCGAGCTATTACCATAGGTCAATGGGCAGATCTATGCTGTAGAGTCGACTTGTGCTCTAAGCTTTAGTTTGAGCAGTTTTAAACATATTGAGCAGTGTTAATTAAAAATTGTGAAAAAAAAAAAAAACAAGATTCAATGCTTTTCATCATAAAAAGTGCCAAGAACAAGTATGCATTCATATAATAAGAAATATTTTCAAAATAAATAAATCAACGGTTTAAATTTTGGTTCAAATCACCACAGCAATGCCTGGCACTCTACAGCAATCAGTTGCTGGTTCAGCTTAAAACTACTGCAGCTTTTGCCTTCATTTGATTCATAACGCAATTTCTATCAATGGCTGGCATTTCAGTGAACACGCACAAGGTAAAAAACTCAAGCCACACCCTCAATGCTATGTTATGAGATTCATCAACCATGATACCTTGTTGAAAATGAAAACCCAAAACTGTTTTGTTCCAAATCTCTGTGAAAAACCAGTGAAAACTTTATGTTCTGCAAATTTGAACAGTTAGACCTTGAGGACGGGGCGGTGGTTCTGGGTGTACCTGGTTCTATTTGGCGCCATAATACAGGCCTTTGTTTCTTTTTCAGGTGATCTCTACAACACTGAAGTCTTACACCACCATTTACAAGTCTGGAGAACTTTGGCCTCTTTGCATTATATGTATAGAATGTCTGATATTGTGTCCTACTTTATTTCAATGTACAACTCCAGTTTATTGGATTATAACGAAGCTGCTCCCTATCATAGGTATCTTCAAAAATCTTGCTCCTTTCTCTTTCAAGCCAAAACTTCTCCATAAGCTAAAAGATAAAAAAAGCACACGCATGTAAATTATGTATCATTTCTGTAAATGTTTACTGACATGACAGTCAAGGAATGTAAAAAAAATAATAATAATAAAAAATAAGAATTTTGCTTCAGAGATCTGGGGGATAGAGAAAAAGGCTGTCTCCTTGCCTCACTTGAGATGTATGCATATGTAAAATTAATCTCTTTTTGTGTACACCCTTTCACCCATTCCCATCCTCCATTTGCATCCCAACCCCAAACATCTGCTAATCATTTCAATATATTTTACGAAGGGCTTCTGTCTTAGACTGGGTTCCCATCCCTAGATCGATCTAACAGGATTGGTCCATCTCCAACAGGTCCCTCACTATATTGCTCTCAGCCTAATCGGCTTAGACATCTGGGACGTCATTAAAATTGCTAAACAATAGTTAATTACCCCCTATCAGCCTCAGCAGGCGTGACAGGCATTTTAGCTGCCCAAGTTAATAGCGAGAATCCCCTCGGAGATAGTTTGATCCAAAGTTAGTACAATAGTCTCTGGGAATGGTCTCTTAGTAGCACAACTATACTGTACAAGCAAAATGTGCTTCAATGTCACATCTACCACACTCTATTATATGCATCACTGCAAATGCAATGAGGGAAGGGGTCTCTGGTTTCAGTGGTAATGATCCCTGTAATTGGCTACATTACAGAGGGATAATAATGCTACTGTTGGTATAAACACTAAGTTTTGCTCAATTATTTAAATCATATCTAAGAAAGGACATTGAATTGACTTATCCTTTTTTCTAATTAAGAGTTGATTTCTTTTCTGTTTTTTATACATCTAATTATGCTACAGGTTTTTACATTATTCGTATAAATTCACCTAAAAATACTTACCCTTTTATTTTCATCCCTAAATTTGGTCAAGTACAGGAAGCGATTCCTGAAATTTTCTACATCCTCATTGTTGCACTTTTGATCATAGGCAGCTGCAGCTTGACTTTCCTTGACTTTTTCCAGGAATTCCTGCTTCTCAGCTGACCACTTGTGGTCCATCTGTTGCTTTAGCATACTGCGTGTCTCTTTCCTAGAAAAATAATTACATAATTTGATTATAATCATTTGAAGGTTTAATTATTTTACAACATGCACACACATATGCATGCACACACACACACACACACACACACACAGAGAGAGAGAGAGAGAGAGAGAGAGAATACCGAACTCCCAATTCATCACTGAATTAACAGAAACTGTTTCTGAAAGAATTTAAAAGATGTACACCATAATTGAAACAAGTAAATGGCACACACAAGTGTAAAGTGAATAACCACCCTGTGGCCTTACAAACATTATTTATCTAATCAAACACCTCACAGTTGATACAGTATCGAATCTCTTAAAACTGAGCACCTAAGTTACTTTGTATCTGCTGTAGTCTAAGTATCTACTATATCATGGCAAAGACCACTTCAGTCCTGTATTCTGATGTTTACTTTGTCAGCAGGTACAAGATGTATACTGGTATACTGGTACTGTACTATTTCAGTAATAAAAGGCTCTTCTGTCTTATTGACTAATCAGCAGATAACTCACACAGGAGATACTGGTAGAAGATTTGTGTCAGTGCTAAATATGTACATATTATGATTAATGGTTATAGGTTTATGTGAGGAAAGAGGCACTTCGTGAAAACTAGCCCAGTTTTTAAAAAAATCATCTCACTTCTCTCGTACATTTATTTTTCAATTTCTTGGAAATTATTAAGCGCTATTCAGGAGTGAAAGAAGAGAAACTGAGGAGCAGACCAAATAAAAGGGGGCAGTTTTATACTGAAGAGGGGAGGGGGGGAATCTTACCTATTTTTAGCAGGGAACAAGATGGGGGAGGAGCCAATAGAGAGCCAATAAAGGGACCTGGGGGGGGGGGGGGAGGGGGGAGGTAAAACTTTAGTACCCTAAGGTTCAGATTTGCTTTGAACTGGTTTCTGAATTTTCGAATTACCATACATGTTAGATTGATTTTTTAGTGTGTTTCACTATTTCACTATCTTTGAGAGCTAAAATGAAGAAACTGCATGCTCTTTTTTGTCTCTGATACTCATTTCAGACATAGGTTTCCAGCAGAAAAAAATGCAGGCGCAGTGAAGTATGTAGCAGAATTATCAATAATAAATATAATAGTGAAATCACGTAGAGCTTTGTGACGTTTATTTCTCTCCTGATCGACCTCCATTTGTGCCTGACATACCGTTCAATAAGTCAAGAACACAAACCAAGTAGTGTGTGTTTCAAACAAAGAAAAAAGCAAATTACCAAATAAAAAATTCATT